GAAACAAATGGTTTGTTGTGGATTGGGGATGATGGATGATGGAGGGGTGGTTTTTGGTACTCTTGTGTGTGTGGTGTGCGTGGCTGATACAGGTACTAGTACTGGTACTGGTACTGGTGTTATGATTTGTAGGGGGCTTGGAATTAAACATTAAGATGGTGCGTGAGGTTTCAATAATGTTGGTGGTCCGTCTCGGTCTCCATGCCCATGTCCATGTCACTGTCATTTCATGAGTTTGTCAGTTGTGAGTCGTCAAAAATAACCAAAATCAAAAAAGTTAAAATGGATAGGGGTCACAATATCATATCGTGATGGAAATTGGGATTAGCATCAGCATCAGCATTGGCATTGGTATTAGTCTTGCTTAGCGCTGGTGTTGGCGTTGGCGCTGGTGCTGGTGCTGGTGCTGGTGACATGTCCACGCCAACGCCAACAGCAGCGCCGGCGCCAGTGTCAAGTGTCAGTGTCAGCATTAGGCGCACGAAAGAGAAAGAGAAAGAGAGAGAGAGAGAGTGTGTGTGTGTGTGCATGTCAAGGATGAGGCGGATTACCAAGGCACGGAGAAATTCGAGATGCGAGGTGGGTGCATGGTTAACCTTGTGCAGTAAGTATGTATGTATGTAGTAAGCAGGTAAGCAAGTAAGCAAGAGCAGCGCCGTGCCGTGTGCGCATGGGTGGGTAGATGCGGTTGCTGCAACACAGGGCAGATGTGCCAAGGGAAGAGAGATGTGTTGTTCTTTTCTTTTTTTTCTCTTGGTTCATCTTGGAAGGCTTGGCTTGGCTGGTGTGAGAGTATGTTTGGTCTTGAGCTTGGAAAGAATCTTGTCTTTGCTTTTGGTGTTGTCAAGAGAGAGAATATATGGTATGCCAAGATATCGACAGAGAAATGAAGTTTTTGTTGTTTCTGGATTTTGTTTCTTTGCTGGCTTGACTGTGGTTTTGTGGGTGTAGTCAAGGGGTCAGGTAATGTAGAGTGAGATAGGGATGACACGGCAGAGAGAGACATGTGGGGGCACAGGCGCATGGAATGTTATGTACTACTGTAGATGTAGACTAGGGGGGTGTTACTGCGGGGTAACGTGAGTGAGGAGCGGGGTTTGTTTGGAAGAGAAGATTGTGGAGTGGTTGTGTAGGGTAGATGAGCAACGTGTGGGTTGCTGGTCATGGTTGGGTGACTTGTTTTGGATTGATATGTTACCATGAGCACGGGTAGGGTACGTGGGTGTGCATCCATGGACCCAAAACAGCAGTTGGTAGATGATGGGGGTAGGGCAACAAAGGGCGGCTTGGATGGGGGGGGGGGTTTTTATTTTGCTTGTCGTTTACCAAGAGAAATTGTTGATGTATTTGTTTGTTTACCGTACCTCATTTGCGGCGAGCTCAACCATTGAGTGTTTTCTTTTGGCTAAACACGAGGGTTGGCTATTGGTTGTGTAGAGGATTCAGGCGACATGGTTCCGTGTATCGGGGCCGCTGAAAAATGAAGATGATGCAATGCATGTTACAAGACCAGGGAGGGGCGTGGAGGGATTTGGTTCGGGAAGATTAATAATAGCAGGCAAAGCAAGAAGCAGGGAAAGTGTGGCGGGGCGATGCGGGCGAGCGGACGGCGGGGGGTGGGGGGATATTTTTTTTGG